AGCAATGATGATCATCCAAAAAACAATTCCCAACACACCATGGAGGACAAGGAATAGAGGCCTAGGTTGCCACACAACCAGGAGGAAAACAGGCCGGAACCAGGGTCAAAGTCAAAGTTACCTCATATGGAGTCCAGGGACTCCAGGGATATCCACACCGATACTGTATGGATCATAGGGACGTCGATCATAAGCAGACAGGACAAGAAGAAAATGTACAACCGGCACAATGCAAAACGGATCAGGATCACCACACTCCAGGACAAAACCATAAGCGGTGCGCAAGAAGCAGACACCGTACTATTCCAAGTTGGCTCCAACGACCTGCAGGAAAAACTGACCGAAACAGTAACTGAGGAGTTGGAGCAGCTCATCCATATTACACGTGAAGGACCTGGAACGGACACTTAAATCTTACTTAGTGGTGTCCTGGCTCGATACAATCAAAATCAAAATGTTGATGATATACATAAGTTCATGCAGAAACGCAGGGACCTTAACTGTGAAATAGAAGATATGTGTGTGGAGAAAAATCTCCAATTCATCCCACAATACAATTACCAGGAGCACGATTTCCATGATGGAACTAATAAATCATTTCCAAAACTGGTGCGAAACATGGACAACATGCTTGGGTTACGGCTCTATGACCATAGTAACCAATACTCTGATAGGGGCGAGGTTGACCGAGACCCTATCAGATTCAATAATGCGCGAGTGACGGTGGCGGAGCGAGGGAACAGAGTGAACGACGCACCCTGTTTATGGACGATGCCCGAGGTGACCGTGGTGGAGCGAGGGAACAGAGGGAACGACACACCCTGTTTATGGGCGATGCGCGAGGTAACCGTGGCGGAGCGAGGAAACAGAGTGAACGACGGCCCCTATTTATTGGCGATGCGCGAGGTGACCGTGGCGGAGCGAGGGATATGAGTAAACAACGCTTTCTGTTTATGGGCGATGCGCGAGGTGGCCGTGGTGGAGCGAGGGAACAGAGTGAACGCCGGCCTCTGTTTATGGGCGATGCGCGAGGTGACCGTGGTGGAGCGAGGGAACAGAGTGAACGACGGCCTCTGTTTATGGGCGATGCGCGAGGTGACCGTGGCGGAGCGAGGGATATGAGTAAACAACGCTTTCTGTTTATGGGCGATGCGCGAGGTAACCGTGGCGGAGCGAGGAAACAGAGTGAACGACGACCCCTATTTATTGGCGATGCGCGAGGTGACCGTAGTGGAGTGAGGGAACAGAGTGAACGCCCCCTGTTTATGGGCGATCGTGGGGAGAGACGCCCCCTGATAGGCGACCATCGAGAAAAACGCCCCTTGATGGACAACCGTGGCATTAACAGAGCACAAATTAACACATGGGAAATTGCCAATCAAGTGGCTAGACTAATGAAACAGTAAATTTGATCCACCCACTATGATATCACCCACTATGATATCACCAACTATGATATCAACCATTATGATATCACCCACTATTATACCACCCATTATGATATCACCCATTATGATATCAACCATTATGATATCACCCACTATGATATCACCCACTATGATATCAACCATTATGATATCAACCATTATGATATCACCCATTATTATATCACCCACTATGATATCACCCACTATGATATCAACCATTATGCTATCACCCACTATGATATCAACCATTACGATATCACCCACTATGATATCACCAATTATGAAATCACCCATTATGATATCACCCATTATTATATCACCCACTATGATATCACCCACTATGATATCAACCATTATGATATCACCCACTATGATATCACCAATTATGATATTACCAATTATGATATCACCCACTATGATATCACCCACTATGATATCACCAATTATGATATCACCCACTATGATATCACCCACTATGATATCACCAATTATGATATCACCCACTATGATATCAACCATTATGATATCACCCACTATGATATCACCCATTATGATATCACCCACTATGATATCACCCATTACTATATCACCCACTATGATATCACCCACTATGATATCAACCATTATGATATCACCCACTATGATATCACCAATTATGATATCACCCACTATGATATCACCCATTATGATATCACCCACTATGATATCAACCATTATGATATCAACCATTATGATATCACCCATTATTATATCACCCACTATGATATCACCCAATATGATATCAACCATTATGATATCACCCACTATGATATCACCAATTATGATATCACCCACTATGATATCACCCACTATGATATCACCCACTATGATATCACCCACTATGATATCACCCACTATGATATCACCCACTATGATATCACCCACTATGATATCACCCACTATGATATCACCCACTATGATATCACCCACTATGATATTACCCACTATGATATCACCAATTATGATGTAACCCACTATGATAACACCCACTATGATATCACCAATTATGATATCACCCACTATGATATCACCCACTATTATATTACCCATTGTGATATCAACCATTATGATATCACCCACTATGATATCACCCACTATTATATCACCCATTATTATATCACCCATTATGATATCACCCATTATGATATCACCCACTATGATATCACCCACTATGATATCATCCACTATGATATCACCCACTATGATGTCACCCCATTATGATATCACTCACTATGATATCACCCATTATGATATCACCAATTATGATATCACCCACATGAAAAAATGGCAAGGAAAAATCTAACGTTGCATTCTTTATAACGTCATAATTAAGCCGATTCCAATGGGGCCGAACTTACACGAATGCCGACAGGTAAAAATTAATTAATGTTCAAAAACGGACGTGCTGCCCTACTTCCAAGAACGGACTTTAATAAAGATGGGCCGAATTTGCCCCGATCTCCCCTATTGTTATGTCGGTCTTAATCTCATCAGAGTTTATGTTTTATTGTTATCCCTCGACTAGCCGAATTTAAATAAATTTTATCTTTCCTCATTCTAAAAGCTGTATTATCTCATTCTAAATCAGTAAATATCAGAGATCAACAAAAGCTTCGCTCTTTTAAGGCTTTGCCTTTTCATATTAAAACTAAAGCAATGATTTTTCAATCTAGACGCGGTGTCAAAACAACTAGCAAGAAAGTAAAACCGTTTTTATTTAATAAAAAGGAAATTGAACAAGTTGCCGAATAGAAATACTTAGGCACAACGCTTTGTAACAACAGTATTCACGTTAGCAGTTAAAGAACTTTGTGCAAAAAAAGTAAAAAAGTTCTATTTGCAATTAGGCAATATCTAAATAAAATAGCTGATATGCCAATTTGGCTATGGAAGAAGTTATATAATTCCTTAATAAGACCAATATTAACATACAATTCTGAAGTATGGTATGCAGACCACTATCAAAAGATAGTAAATGCAAGCAAAAGAGCAGATTTAAACCATACATCTTTAGTCATATTTTCTCTACTTGATAAAACACCTATTGAACAAATCAACCTCAAATTGTGCAAAATGGCATTGGGAGTTGGAAAATACTCTGTTAATGTTGTTACATCGAGGTCAGAACTGGGTCAGTATACCATGGACTGTTTTGTGAATACTCAAGCATTGTACTATTTGGCAAGGATTACACAAAATGATATAAATGTACTTGTGAAGGAGTCGTTAAAAGTAAATATACATGGTTTACATATGTTTCCCAAATAAAAAAGAATAATAATATTAACTATGACTTTCATCACGACCCTTTCTTTGCAAACAAGAAAAGGAAAAGGAAACTATTGTTTAAAAAGTCGATACATGCTAAATTTGAATTTTACTTTTTTGAAAAATTGTATAGTTTGGACGAAAATAGTAAGTTATTTCTATACAGTAAAATTTAAAAAAAGTATGCAGAGGAACACTACCTATCGTTACCCAACTTTGAACATAGAAAATTGATGGCAAAGCTGAGACTAAGCAACCACAATTTAGAAATTGAGGCTGGTAGTTCTAAAAAGATTACTCGACAATCCCGACTATGTAAATTCTGCAATACTGTAGAAGATGAAGTACATTTTATATTTAAATGCAAAATAAATTTAAATATCAGGACTACGTTTCTCAAAAAAATTAAAATTAACCCATCATTGCCTGATCTACAAAATTTAATATTATTATTGTCATCTAATGACCCACAGCTTTTGCAGGAAATAAGGCTCTTTATTAAAAAGTCATTTGAACTGAGGAAGGCAGGCTTGCAGAATGCATAAGTATGTAGTTTTTGCTGTCCATTATATAGTATCAATGTTTGTTTGATATTTGCAGCTCGATCCTGGTAAATTGGAAGTAAAATGCAATAAAGTTGATTGATTGATTGACTGATTGATTGTATGTGTGTATGTATGGTGTCTCCTATCATCATTGGTACTGATCTTATACTTATGTTCCTAAAGCATGTATGTAAATATTTAGAGTTCATTATTTGCTATTGATTGAGATGTACCTTCGGAGAGAGGGCTTGTATAGGCTTTATCTGTTGTCCAATTCCCATTAAATCTGATTGATTTAATAAAATATTTTGACATGAAATGAGAGTTTGACAAAAAAGGGCCAAATTAATGCACAGTAAAACAGTATAAAGTCCAACATCAGCCTTTGTTTCATACCCTCCATTCAAAATATTATAGTTAACATGAATCGACTGGTAACTTCCGTCTTAAAACAAAACAAAATATCGGACTTGAGTAAGGCTAATAGTACTCTTGAAAGTACATATATACTAGTAGAAGTCTCGTTCAAGATAAGTTTTTCGGATGGGATGGGGTCTATTGATTCAAGCCAAACCTACTCAAATATGGATAAACCAACAATGAAACGATAATTAAAAGCGAAAATAGTGTTACATTAATTGAACTTTTCGATTGCGTCAGCCCTACGAAATAATGAAATAGTCTGTATAGAGAGGCGTTAATTGTCCCCGTTATGTTGTAGATGACTGGATACCGAGAAGAAATATCAAACAATTCGGTAATGTAAGTATAAACAGGTAGTAAATTAAATAGATAACGATATGTATGGAATGAATGATTAGGCAATGTTAATATGTGGACTCCGTGGCGCAACGGTAGCGCGTCTGACTCCAGATCAGAAGGTTGCGTGTTCAAATCACGTCGGGGTCATGAACCTTTTTTGTTTTTAAACTTAAAAAAATATGGTCATTAAATCTGATAATAGTCTATAAATATTCGCTGTCCATTATAATTTATTTTCTGAATTGGAAAAACATTGTTTGTGAACTTTTTAGTTTTTAAATACCAATCGTTAACACAGGGACATAACTTCCTTGTGTATTTACAATAAGGGGTTTAATTAAAATATACCACAGGTGCTTGACACACTTTTATATGATGTGTATATATATTTTTCACATCATATAAAAGTGTGTCAAGCACCTGTGGTATATTGTAATAAGTTTGTCCTGTTCTCCCCCTTTTACGGTCCACATTATTACTCCTTTTACTATCATGTGTGTCTTGTCAGCTTTATTTGTTTCCTGTAAATATCTTGAATTGAAAAATCTTGCGGCGCATTTTAATCAAATGCTGCTAACATAAAATTATAGATCTTCTAAACTTTATTGGTAACTGACACCATTGTCCCTATTTCAAAACAAACTATATTAGTGTTTTTTTTTATATCCTGTCAATTTTTACGCTTTGCTATATTAGCATATATGTATATTACACTGTTACGGTGCTCTAACCCTTAATAAGAAATACTTGTGTAACATACACGCTTTCAGTACTAAATGTAGTTTTATAAATATTTGTTTGTCATTTAACTAGTCTTTGTTTTACCTGTTTAATTGCCTCTGTGATGTTTGTTTGTCATTTAACTAGTCTTTGTTTTACCTGTTTAATTGCCTCTGTGATATTTGTTTGTCATTTAACTAGTCTTTGTTATTACCTGTTTAATTGCCTCTGTGATGTTTGTTTGTCATTTAACTAGTCTTTGTTTTACCTGTTTAATTGCCTCTGTGATATTTGTTTGTCATTTAACTAGTCTTTGTTATTACCTGTTTAATTGCCTCTGTGATGTTTGTTTGTCATTTAACTAGTCTTTGTTTTACCTGTTTAATTGCCTCTGTGATATTTGTTTGTCATTTAACTAGTCTTTGTTATTACCTGTTTAATTGCCTCTGTGATGTTTGTTTGTCATTTAACTAGTCTTTGTTTTACCTGTTTAATTGCCTCTGTGATATTTGTTTGTCATTTAACTAGTCTTTGTTATTACCTGTTTAATTGCCTCTGTGATGTTTGTTTGTCATTTAACTAGTCTTTGTTTTACCTGTTTAATTGCCTCTGTGATATTTGTTTGTCATTTAACTAGTCTTTGTTATTACCTGTTTAATTGCCTCTGTGATGTTTGTTTGTCATTTAACTAGTCTTTGTTTTACCTGTTTAATTGCCTCTGTGATATTTGTTTGTCATTTAACTAGTCTTTGTTATTACCTGTTTAATTGCCTCTGTGATGTTTGTTTGTCATTTAACTAGTCTTTGTTTTACCTGTTTAATTGCCTCTGTGATATTTGTTTGTCATTTAACTAGTCTTTGTTATTACCTGTTTAATTGCCTCTGTGATGTTTGTTTGTCATTTAACTAGTCTTTGTTTTACCTGTTTAATTGCCTCTGTGATATTTGTTTGTCATTTAACTAGTCTTTGTTATTACCTGTTTAATTGCCTCTGTGATATTTGTTTGTCATTTAACTAGTCTTTGTTATTACCTGTTTAATTGCCTCTGTGATGTTTGTTTGTCATTTAACTAGTCTTTGTTTTACCTGTTTAATTGCCTCTGTGATGTTTGTTTGTCATTTAACTAGTCTTTGTTTTACCTGTTTAATTGCCTCTGTGATGTTTGTTTGTCATTTAACTAGTCTTTGTTTTACCTGTTTAATTGCCTCTGTGATGTTTGTTTGTCATTTAACTAGTCTTTGTTTTACCTGTTTAATTGCCTCTGTGATGTTTGTTTGTCATTTAACTAGTCTTTGTTTTACCTGTTTAATTGCCTCTGTGATGTTTGTTTGTCATTTAACTAGTCTTTGTTTTACCTGTTTAATTGCCTCTGTGATATTTGTGTGTCATTTAACTAGTCTTTGTTAATACCTGTTAAATTGCCTCTGTGATATTAGTTTGTCATTTAACTAGTCCTTGTTATTACCTGTTTAATTGCCTCTGTGATATTTGTTTGTCATTTACCTAGTCTTTGTTATTACCTGTTTAATTGCCTCTGTGATGTTTGGTTGTCATTTAACTAGTCTTTGTTTTACCTGTTTAATTGCCTCTGTGATGTTTGTTTGGCATTTAACTAGTCTTTGTTTTACCTGTTAAATTGTCTCTGTGATATTTGTTTGTCATTTAACTAGTGTTTGTTATTACCTGTTTAATTGCCTCTATGATGTTTGCTTGTCATTTAACTAGTCTTTGTTATTACCTGTTAAATTGCCTCTGTGGTATTTGTTTGTCATTTAACTAGTCTTTGTTATTACCTGTTAAATTGCCTCTGTGGTATTTGTTTGTCATTTAACTAGTCTTTGTTATTTCCTGTTTAATTGCCTCTGTGATGTTTGTTTGTCATTTAATTAGTCTTTGTTTTACCTGTTTAATTGCATCTGTGATATTTGTTTGTCATTTAACTAGTCTTTGTTTTACCTGTTTAATTGCCTCTGTGATGTTTGTTTGTCATTTAACTAGTCTTTGTTTTACCTGTTTAATTGTCTCTGTGATATTTGTTTGTCATTTAAATAGTCTTTGTTATTACCTGTTTAATTGCCTCTATGATGTTTGTTTATCATTTACCTAGTCTTAGTTATTACCTGTTTAATTGTCTCTGTGCTATTTGTCATTTAACTAGTGTTTGTTTTACCTGTTTAATTGCCTCTGTGATATTTGTTTGTCATTTACCTAGTCTTTGTTATTACCTGTTTAATTGCCTCTGTGATGTTTGTTTGTCAATTAACTAGTCTTTATTATTACCTGCATGTGATTGTTATTATACTTCATGTTTGTCGTAAGAATAGCACTACAGTGCTAATGTTTTATTGTTTTAAATATGCGACGTTAAATTAAAAAAAAAATCCTGTATCTTGTTTCTTGTATCAGTGGTATATACTTGTATCTACCATCATTAGGTTTCGGAATATGGTATTCTACGATATGTCAAACTTACATTTTATACATCCCTCTCTTTGCAGATACATTTGGAAAACAAGACATTTGCATTCATGATTCCCCAAACTTATGTCAAGCGCAGAAACAGAATGATTGACAGCTGTGTGTCACTACCACCAAAACCGAGTATGTACGGGGAAGAGTTGTTCCGGCAGCATCTGCTGGTCGACAGAGGGCGCCATCTTGTTTTCTGTGGGATAGAGAAAGTTGGACTAACGTTTTGGCGGAGGTTCTTTTCTGTGAGTGCCCGCGGTTCTGTTTATTATCAATCATTTATTAGCAACAGATAAAAAGCAAAATATTGAACGCGGTTTTCTTGGTAAAAACAGTTGAGCTGTTTTCTGATTGTGAATCGATTTTAACTAACAAACAACACAACATACACGGTCACGTGCATTCTATAATTCCAGGGGTTACTCTCTGGAATTCGAGAACTGGCCTCGTGTTGTTACGGTAAAACGGTTGTTACATGATACAAAACAGTCGTTTGAAATCGTAGTCATGATAAAATGTCACATGGTACAACTGCTGTGATATCACTGTCTTTGTCTTAACTAGTACAACAGTTGTACACGTGCTCCTGTAATTCTGTTTAACCATTGTCATTGTTCCAATATCATTACGGTACTACCGTTTTAATGAAAGTTATTCTACTTCCGTTGTCATGGTAAAACGGTTGTTGTGGTACTTCCTTTATCTAGTATAGCTACTGTCATAGCACTTCGATTTCATAGTCCTTCCGTTGTCATGGCTATTCATAGTACTTCTGTTGTCATGGCTATTCATTGTCAAAGTACTTCCGTTGTCATGGCTATTCATTGTCAAAGTACTTCCGTTGTCATGGTAAAACTCTAGCCATGGTGATTCTGTTATAATCGTATAGCCATTGTCATTGTACCTAGGTTGTAATGATGCTTCCACTGTCATTCCATAGCCATTGTCATGGTATTTGAATCGTTATTGTTAAGCTGAAAAGATACGTTCATGGTATCGCCATTGTCACAGTTTTGCTTCCATTGTCATGGTATAGCCGTTGTCACAGTAGTGCTTCCATTTTCATGGTATCGCCGTTGTCACAGTTTTGCTTCCATTGTCATGGTATCGCCGTTGTCACAGTTTTGCTTCCGTTGTCATGGTATCGCCGTTGTCACAGTTTTGCTTCCGTTGTCATGGTATCGCCGTTGTCACAGTTTTGCTTCCGTTGTCATGGTATCACCGTTGTCACAGTAGTGCTTTCGGTCTCATGGTATAGTTGTTGTCATAGTTTTGCTCCATGGTCATGGTATATCTGTGTCGTGGTATTTTGTTTTCGTGTGTATGCCTTATTTTGTTATTTCTGTTAACATACATCCATTATAACGGCACTCCCATGGTCATGGTATATCTGTGTCGTGGTATTTCGTTGTCGTGTGTATGCCTTATTTTGTTATTTCTGTTAACATACATCCCTTATAACGGCACTCCCATGGTCCTGGTATATCTGTGTCGTGGTATTTTGTTGTCGTGTGGATGCCTTATTTTGTTATTTCTGTTAACCTACATCAATTATAACGGCACTCCAATTGTCATGGTATATCAGTTGTAATGGCAGTGGTCCTCTTGTCGTTGTACAGTTATTGGGTATACAACCGTTGACAAAATGCAGACGTTATTTTGGTATCACTGTTGTCATGGTACAGCCGTTGTCATGGTACAGCCGTTGTCATGGAACAGCCGTTGCCATGGTACAGCCGTTGTCATGGTACAGCCGTTGTCATTAGCAATCATTGCCGTTGTAAGACTATTGTCATGGTACTTCGTTGTCATGGTACAGCCGTTACCATAAGCAATCGTTGCCATTGTAAGTATATTGTCATGGTACTTCGTCGTCATGGTACAGCCGTTACCATTAGCAATCGTTACAATTGTAAGACTATTGTCATGGTACTTCGTTGTCATGGTACAGCCGTTACCATTGTAAGACTATTTTCATGGTACATCGTTGTCATGGTACAGCCGTTACCATTAGCAATCATTGCCATTGTAAGTCTATTGTCATGGTACTTCGTTGACATGGAACAGCCGTTACCATTGTAAGACTAATGTCGTGGTACATCGTTGTCATGGTACAGCCGTTACCATTGTAAGTATATTGTCGTGGTACATCATTGTCATGGAACAGCCGTTACCATTGTAAGTATATTGTCGTGGTACATCGTTGTCATGGAACAGCCGTTACCATTGTAAGTATATTGTCGTGGTACTTCGTTGTCATGGTACAGCCGTTACCATTGTAAGACTATTGTCATTGTACATCGTTGTCATGGTACAGCCGTTACCATTTTAAGTATATTGTCGTGGTACATCGTTGTCATGGTACAGCCGTTACCGTTAGCAATCATTGCCATTGTAAGTCTATTGTCATGGTACTTCGTTGTCATGGTACAGCCGTTACCATTTGCAATCATTGCCATTGTAAGTCTATTGTCATGGTACATCGTTGTCATGGTACAGCCGTTACCATTAGAAATCATTGCAATTGTAAGACTATTGTCATGGTACTTCGTTGTCATGGTACAGCCGTTACCATTAGCAATCGTTACCATTGTAAGTCTATTGTCATGGTACTTGGTTGTCATGGTACAATATGACGTTAAGGTACCCTTTTTTGTCAGGATACAATTGCTGTCATGGTGCAACCCTGACATACATAGCAAATAAATTTTCCTTTCTGTGTTTTTTTTTGTCGACAGATTCTCAACGACGCCCACAAATCCAGCCCATTTGATATCCGGGCATTTGACGCCTATATACCAGGAACTGTCGATACTATGTACAACAAGACTATGAGAGAATACAACCACGTGATGACGTCTTCATTATCCGTTATGTTCTCGCGAGATCCGTTTGAAAGAATATTTTCGGCATATGTCGACAAATTTGTTTCCCCGAACATCAATTTCTGGATAGATAAAGGAACAGGTATTATTCGTAAATATCGAAAGTTTCCAGAGTTTAGCAGTTTACGATGCGGAAATGACGTCACTTTTGCAGAATTTGTAAAATATGTTGTAAACCATGCACACGGCCAGGAGAAAGTGGACAGTCATTTTGTAACAATAACAGAACACTGTCGCCCATGTCATATCCGGTATGACGTCATAGGAAAGATGGCGACATTCTACAATGATACTATGTTTTTAATACGTACTGTAGGTCATACAAAGATGCGCGATAAACTTCAAGATCAATTTATTGATGCATATGTAAGAGATCAATTCTCACACAGCGTGGATTTGTTGTTTTTCTACAAAAGAGACCTTGTCGATCGTCACAAATGCGTGCCGAGTTTCCATACGGCTCAGCAGCGGATGTGGCGCGCGCTTCAACTGCGCGGGTTGATAAGTTTGGAAACTAAATATCCAATCAAAAGAAGTGAACGTGATGATATCAGCAAGGACCAGTTACTACAAGTATTGTTTAATAGTTTGAAGGACAGAGTACCACGTGTTCACAAGAAAGACGCCATGTTTGAAGCGTATGCCTCTGTCGACTTTGTAGACTTGCACAAGCTCCGAGACGTATTTAGATCAGATTGTGATCTGTTTGATTATGACTGTTCACCATCAAGTATATTTAACCAATCGATACCAAGGAAATATCCAGACAGGTTCTTTAATTTTGAGTGATTAAACAGCTCGAACTTGGTTTGAATATTTCGCATACGAAAATGTAGACGCCACGATGTGCAGTTTCCTTAAATAGGACCTTTTCATTCTTTTAAGACATTTTTAAAAGAACGAAACCAAATGACAAAATATACGAAAACAAAAAATCGAACACATTTCGACAAAGTTTTAAGTATATCACCGTTACGGCTGTTACTCGTTTATCACATAATTATAAACTTTTTAGTGTCATGTATCTAGTTAAGACGGAGGATGACAGTAAACATCTGCAGCCAAATCGTATTATGTTCACTCACTCACATGTTGAGATAGATAATTATACAATATTGTAGCTGGACATCCCAGTGAGAATCAATTTTTATCTATAAAACGGGTATCGTTTTCATTAACGGAGCACTTAAATAGATTAACTGCATTAGTTTCTTTGATGTCGTGGGACTGTTATTGTCCGATATGAGAAGTTTATCTATGATGTTTTAAACTTTGAACATATCTTTTAACATATCTTTAACTTTAGTATTTTGACACACCTTATCACGTTTCGTAAGAGATCACGTGACCTTACAGTCGTGCAAGATCCTTATATGGTATGTTGACATCTGTAACACGACGTTCCGGGTTTTTTTTTCTCTTGTTCAGAGAGCAGCTCTGTGTACCGCGGTATCTATGACAATTGAGCGTGAACAACATTTTCCGGTTCCGGTGTGTACGATGTGTCGCCCGTGATTCATACAGTTGTTGACATCACGAACGTTTTTGAACGTTTCTGTACCTCTACATTAAATATTCAGGTGGATCCCATCCTCAAAATCCCGGGGGTTCCGCTTACGGGTGGTCGGATAACGCAGTGAATAGCGCGCTTGCTTTTCACCAAGGCGGCCGGGGTTCGATTCCCCGATCGGACGTGAAAAGGTATGGGGTCACCAGCCCGACCATATGGATTTTCTCCCGGTACTCCGGTTTCCTCCCACATTAAGACCCCCTGCGCATTAAAACCCGGGTTAACAAAAGTGATTAGTGTAAGTTGTAAAATAAAACAAATATTAAGGGGGCGGACCATCGCATCCGCCCATGATTATTTCGGGGTATTGTGAGCAATTCAATCACGGTCTCTAGTCACAAGCTGAAGTTTTGCATGAATACATACATATTTTACGATGATGTTTTACATTTGAGGAAATTTAGAGAAATCTAAGTAGATGCAATACTTCCCCCTGGTAACACATGAACCTGGGACGCTATCGTGATGTGAAGAGGGTAATATAAGACGTTTTATACGTTTAGATAAACATTCAGCGAAAATGGCACCCACAATTTACCTAGTCTAACAGTTCCATGTATAAGTTAAAACCGGTTTACTAGATGAAAGTATAGCTATATCAGGCTATATATATGTACGTGGTTTCTATAATAATAATACATTGTAATAATAATTCGAGGTTCTTATATACCGCTTTATCACAACCTAGTTTGAAGGTCGTTTTAAAGCGGTTCTCAAATCATTTTCCGTGGTTATAGGGCCTTTGCAACCAGCCACCATGTTTCTCAACTCCCTTGGGATCATACAGCCGGAGCTGCCATTTCGGCGCTCACAGCTAGCATTCAACAATTGTAGCACTGTCCAACCACGAACTCATTTACAGCTGAGTAGACTGGAACAAGCGGAGTTAAGTATCTTGTTCAATGATACAACACAGTGGCGTGACGTGACTCGAACCCGCAACCAGCTCGGCGTCCTACCAATAGTAGTCACTAGACTACCGTGCCTCCTTTTTTGAGAAGAAGAATACCAATGGGCTTCCATCTATATACCGTGTGCTGTACATAACCTAGGGTATAGCATGGCTTATTTTCACAATAAAATAATCCCAATTATACCTTTATTGTCAGTTCTTAAGACACAGCTGGCGATACGCAAACAGGCCAGATACGAGGACAGATCAGGAAAGGGAGACGCGTGCAAATATAATCATGGATTATAGGGTTCACCAGATCACATATGGTATGATGACAGATAAAAACTATGTTCAGGCATTTTAATATTGAATAAAGAAATATCCTTCGACGTGGATTAAAAATGAGTGCAGTCATCAGAAACAAAATGGAACGTCACAAGACGTAAGGTGAAAGGTCAACAGACGTAAGGCGAAAGGTCATCAGACGTGAGGTAAAAGGTCATCAGACGTAAGGTAAAAGGTCATCAGACGTAAGGTAAAATGTTATCAGACGTAAGGCATAAGGTCATCAGAAATAAGGTAAAAGGTCATCAGACGTAAGGTGAAAGGTCATCAGACTAAGGTGAAAGGTCATCAGACGTAAGGTAAAAGGTCATCAGACAACAGGCAAATGAGAAACAAGAAAAGGTTATTACTTTTTATCAGGACAGGTTCAAACATACTTACGGTTATGATTTCTCAGGCCCCTGTGATTGGGCTTATAAGTAGTATTTATTATCAGGAAAGGTTAAAACATGTTTACAGTGATACATTCTCCATGCCCCTATGACCGGCCTAAAATCAGAGGTATTTATAATCAGGACAGGTTCAAAAATCTCATAGTCATAAAATCTCGGGTCCCTATCACCGGGCTAAACTCAGAGGTATTTATAATCAGGACAGGTTCAAACATACTTAGAGTGATAAATGCTGGGGTCCCTGTGAACGGGTTTACTTAAGACACAATCAAAAATAGACTTCAGCTTAAGGTCCAAACATGCCCACAAAGATAAATTCTCAGGCTCCCGTAACCGGGCTAAAAAGTGGTTTTTATCATCAAGACAGGTTCAAACATACTTACAGTGGTAAAATTCTCAAGCCCCTATGACCGGGCTAAAATCAGAGGTGTTTATTATCAGGACAGGTTCAAACAATCCACAGTGATAAATTCTCGGGTCCCTGTGAACGGGCTTACTTAAGACACAACTATATCTATATTTGAACCAACTACAACTTTCAAGCGGTATTTAAAATGACATCAGGAAAATAAAATTGGCAAATATCTGTGACATTATTAGGTCATATCTATTGGGAAAATGCTGACTTTATTTTGAAGTTTCTATCAAAAATATGTGGAAGATAAAAGCGGATATGAAATGAAAAAGAAATCACATTTTCGACAGAGAATCTCTTTGGATGTGCAATAGAATAAAACTATTACCAAACAGATTTTCTTTCTATATGATTTTTTTTTATCTTTTGACACTACACAGGACATATGTTTCTATTCCTGGATTTTGACTATAAAACCCGAGTAAATAACACTCAAAACATTCGCATGTTTTAAACCGACAAAACAGTGACCAACAAAAGGTAAATTTGTGCCCTCTAGTTTGGTACGAAGGTGTTTAATTATATCATGCATGTGTTACATGGTAATAAAAGAATTTAAATAGATTTTACAAATGCTGCTCACACTTATTCAATCAATCAAAGAAAATGTACTGTTTTCTATTCATATTTCACATTTCAAAGTACATTCTAATTCAGATATAAATGAAATGTTTATCACTTTTAAATACTTACCTCTAGAACATATTTACCGCTTGGCGTCTACATTAAATTGATGACGTCATAGAGTAAGTGATAACGAGTTTGACAAATAGTTGACACTGGAATATAGTCATTAGAGTGTAAACTCCAATTAGTACAATGCATAGCTGAATGATGTATAAAGGACTCGAACAAGGGCAGCAAACTCGTTATGACTTACTGTATACCCCAATCTTATGTTGATACTTGATGTAAATCGATTTGTTATTTGTGGTACATTAAGAGTGTAGAGTGTAGATTATAAATGGCATTAGGACGAGTCTGTCTACATAACACATATCGTTTTACATAATACTATGCTGACAAGCCTTTACGTACAATTCAATAACTTCTGAACCGAAAGGACTCCCTGATCCTTCTGTGTCAGTTATAATACCCCCAGTGAAGCATATCGATACACATACAATGTTGATTTGTTTGGAAACAGATTTTGTCGGATTGTTATACAGTACTTTTACAGTTTGAAGGTATGTGAGTAATGTAATGCCAGATGTTAATGGCTTTCTCTTTCCTTCTCTCTCTCTCCCTGTGTTTCCATCTCTCTCTCTCTCTCTCTCTCTCTCTCTCTCTCTCTCTCCCTCTCTCTCTCTCTCTCTCCCTGCCCCCCTCCGCCCCTCTCTCTTGCCCCCTCTCTCTTTCTTTTGCTTAACTTTGAGTATGTCTTTTGCCCGAAATGGATTTGAGCTTGTGATTTTTGCTTTCATCAATAGTTTCCTTCAAACAGTTGCAGCTTTTGATATTTATATATTGCAAGTATTTATCAAATTCTTTATATATTTGTACATTACTAACTCTAACATTTTGCTGTTAAAATACCTACATTTTTATTTGAACATGCTGTAAAGTCTTTATAAAAACTGGTAATTTACTATAGTAGGTAAGCTACACAGCGTCATGAGAAGACTTGTCATTCTGTTTCTATAGTTCTAATGCTTGGTCGTAGGGACATTACTTAAGTACAAATCACAACTAAAATGTGCAACATAAAACACATGTACTCGGTATGTCCTATACACACATGTTATGATAGTGACGTATGATAGCCCTGTCTTATCAGTTAGACAATTTTTGGCCGAACGCCAGGAGTCCGGCTGTCTGTCGGTAGAATCACGTGATATACCCGTAACAAGGAAGTGTATAGTTAAAGGTGTACCGACATAACAACAAAAAAATGGCAGTTCACAGTTTGTAGACAAAGTATTTCATCAAACGCGCTAAAGTACCAACACCATGGCAAGTAACAGATCCGTACATCGTGCTCAGGAACCCGTTACCTACACGTGTGCTTTGTGTGACAGTGAAGACGGGGTACGATGATATTGTAACGACTGTCAGGAGAATTTATGTGACCGTTGTAAGGAGTTTCATAAACGCGGACGGAAAACACCACAACTGGAAACATTTTGAAGACGAATTTTCCATTAAAAAGCAACATCTCAAAGAACATATGACAGCAATTTCTGTTAAAATAGAACAGTTCAAGAACGAGACATCAGAGCGAAATCGTGTTAACGAAGGGTTTAACGACACTTTGATACAATGAGGAAAGATGTGAACTCTCAAAGGACGAAGTTAAAGGCATAAGTTGATTCTATCGCTGATGCAATACTCGCTGAATTATCGGCTTTAGAAAAAGAAGAATCAACCACGCACGAGAAAGATTGTCAAAGATCAGAGAAAAAAGTCGAAGAACTGACGCGTCTGCTTGAACAAGCGGAAATGGCGAATACATCAAGCGTATCCTTGTTTAAAACAGAAAGGTCATTGAGGACAACTCCGCCCCTGTACGACGTTAATGTGAAATATGTCTCACCAAAACAACCAAGCTTTGTTACCGGAAGAATCGACAGCGTCATGTTGACGAAAATGTTAGGTGAATTACACCACGGGAACCAGTACGAGAAGACAGACATCGACAGTAAACACGTTCAACGTCTCTCTAAGTTTACTGTTACTCCACAATATATTATATTCGGTATATGTCCAGTCGATGACAGTCACGCGTGGTTTTCAATATACCACAACAAGGGTCTGGTACTGGTCAACAGGGAGGGTGTGGTCATAGAGACGGTAAAACTGAACTTCAGATTGTACAGAATCACCATGGTCGGGACAACAGACATA